ACTAACAACCCTAAGGCAAGGATTAATTGCTGTCAATTATCCAGCACGTGAGCACGGCATCGGTCGTCATTGCACTTTGACGGATGCGAAGAAGCTATGCCCTACATTAGTTGCCCAGCATGTAGCAACTTGGCGAGAAGGCGACGACAGGTGGGCATACCGTGATGATGCTGCTGCCAACATCCAGAGCGACAAAGTCTCTCTCGATCCGTACCGCCTTCAGTGCAGAAAGATTCTGGCAGTCATCAAGGAAAGTTTGCCTGCGGATCAGCAAAAGGTTGAAAAGGCCAGCATTGACGAGGTTTTCCTTGACCTCTCCGCACATGTCCATGCAGTTCTCCTGGAACGCTTCCCCGAGCTGAGAAACCCACCACCTTACGACGATCCGACGGAGAATCTTCCAGCCCCGTCCGTGGCAGCCCTGGACTGGCAAGCGGATGCTCTCATCGACCTGAATGAGGAGGAGGAGTCCGTGGACCCAGACTGGGACGACGTGGCGATCCTTATTGGGTCTGAGATTGTCCGCGATGTCCGAAGACAGATCCTGGAGAAGTTACACTACACATGCTCCGGAGGTATTGCCAAAAATAAGCTGTTGAGCAAGTTGGGCTCCGGGCACCAGAAGCCCAACCAGCAGACCGTCATTCGAAACCGAGCCGTGGCCCAATTTCTGTCAGGCTTCAAGTTCACCAAGATACGCAATCTCGGGGGGAAGCTTGGCGAAAACGTGGTCTCAACCTTCAACACTGACGCCGTCGAAGAGCTATTGGCCATCCCTCTGGATCAGATGAAAGCAAAGCTAGGTCAGGACACCGGAAGCTGGGTTTTCAATACCATTCGTGGCATCGACGCTAGTGATGTCAACTCCCGCACACAAATCAAGTCGATGCTATCGGCAAAATCGTTTCGGCCCTACATCAACACCCCGGAACAAGCCCATCGCTGGCTGAGGATCTTTGCTGCCGACATCTTCGCCCGCTTGGTTGAAGAGGGAGTTTTGGAGAATAGGCGTAGGCCGAGGACAATAAACTTGCACCACCGGCATGGCGGCCAAATGAAATCGCGCCAAGGCCCAATACCCCAGGGCAAAGCACTAGATGAGCAAGCCTTATTCGAACTTGCGAAGAACCTCTTGAACCAAATAATAGGGGAAGGCAACGTCTGGCCATGCGCCAACCTCAGCTTAAGCGTGGGCGGCTTCGAAGACGGCATCACAGGCAACATGGGCATCGGCGCTTTCTTGCTGAAAGGAGAGGAAGCCCAGGCGCTAAGGCAGAGTAGCCGCGAAGCAAGCGATATGCCCATTCCTGAAGAAAAGCCGCCAAAGAAACGTCGGACGGAGGGAGGGGCGATCCATCGCTTCTTTGCACGTAATGTTTCCACTGACGAAGAAATGCCGTCCGACGGTGCATCCGCGAAGAGCGATATCAAATCCCGAGAAGAGACTAAGTCAGGTGAGCCTTCCATGGCTGTTCCAGGTACGAGTCTGGCGCACGAGGAAGGCAATGGTGGCTTCCATGAGGTGCCAACCACGGGCTTCGTATGCTCGCGGTGCAACACGGGGTTTGAAACGCCAGAGGAGCACCAAAGCCACGAGGATTGGCATTTTGCCAAAGATCTACAAGACCAGGAACGTGGCAAGCCCACACTTGCTCAGCACTCATCTGCCACCCGCAGCTCTGGCCCAAAGACTTCAGGAACTTCGGCCAAGCGGGGAGGCCGCGGCGGCAAGCTCGAGCATGGACAGAGCAGACTGAAGTTTGGATGAATCCTGGTGATATGCCCGTCTTTGCCAACATCACGCCAAAAGTCTGTCGAGCGGGTCCTGCCGCCTGATACGCAACGAGACTTGGAAGTTGGTAAACTTTGACGCCCTGAGGCCTGGTCCAAGGGTCACCGCAGTACAGGAGATTGACGGCAAAGCCCCCGACGAACCTGAGGAATCATCACTGATGGGCGTTTTCTTTCCAAATTCAAGCTTCACCAAGCGAATTATGAGGCGAGTCTTACACAAGGGTACCCACCGGGCAGGGACGACATGACTTCGGGACCCGGTATGGCTATCCGTTGTTGCCCAGTTGGGCACCCGGTACAGCAATTTGGGAAGCAATCCTGTCTCACAGTAGACTCAGTCGCGGACCTGGGCGTTGCTTCCGGCCTTGCGCCGGGTTACAGTCTATCGGAGGTCGTGGTCATATGAGACATGAGGACGGATCAACTTGGCGAACCACAACGGCCTGACGGGACAGGGACATACATGTGGTTGAGCGTCTCCGCAGGCGCAACCGACGAGTTGGATGGCTACATGTGGATCGAAACTACCCGCAAGTGTCGTCATTCCAATTCCCGCCTGTAGCCTTCCGCGACGCATCCGGATCCTCATGACCCACGGGTTGAACCAATATTGGGAGCGCCAGGGGCAGCAGTGCCAGCGAGCAAGGCTTCGGACACACGATTTACAAAGATGAATACAAAATCTTGAATAAGAAAACGGCATCCAGTACGTTTGTGCTCTGGATGGAGGAGGCCGGCGCACATCGGATCCCTGATCGAGGCCGGTTCCGTGATACTGTTGGATCGAGGTTCACGCATCGTTTTGGTTGCGTCTGGATTGACACAATCCGGATGACGTCTGCAAGTGATTGGTTGCTAATTAGGCATCTTTTGGGCCAAGGTGGGTTGGGCCACATTTTTGGCGCGAGGCATTGATACCCAACGTTGCCAACCACCACCTGGCACCGACGCACCGTTACCAACTCCCCGACTAGCAACACTACTCTGTCTCCGTATCCGTACTAACCACACAAATCAGCGTTTGCGGGAAAAAAACACGCACTCGCCTTGTCTTGATCCGTGGACCATCGCGGACAAAATGGAGACTGGAAAGGAAAAGAGACGGGGCATTCCCGGCAGTCGGAAGCGATAGGCCACCGCTTCGCAGCGATGCACTGGGGCCACATCGCCGACCCCGAGTGGGTTCGCAGCAACGGCGAAGTCAATTTTTGATGAGGACACCGCCAACAACCGCCGGACGATCAAGAGACAGGGCAAGAAACGGCATGCTGCGCCGTCAAGTCGCGAAATGGCCGGCAGTCGAGGGCAAGGGTCCCAGGAAACGAACGTCCGTCGTCCCACGCTCCACAGCCACGGGGTTCTCATAGAAGTCAGCCCGGGGGGGGGGGGGCGGGTGTCATGACTGTCAATGAGGACGTGCATCGAATAAGTAGTTTTTGCGCCCTGAAAAGCGCGCCGGCTGGTCGCCGTCTGAGGCTGGGATATCCCGTCCTGGTAGGGTACCAACAGCTCGGTCAGTCAGACTTGAGGAAATTGAAAGGGACAGAAAGAAAAAAACAAGTCAGACTCCAGGCTTGCATCGTCTAACCATTCTTGCCTTTAGCAAGCTGACATAGGCAAAGAGGTCATCTGGGGCTGGAGAGTTGCTGGGGAATTGCCAAATCAAGTCTGCCAGAAAACGCAACTTACGACACTGGCTCACACGCTTGAATTCCAAGCGCGCAGACTATACATGCACTTACGGACTGGTTTCTGCATTTAACACTTACCTGTTTCCAGAAGAAATTAGCCTTTGAAGTCCACGAATGTTTCCCAGCTTGTTCAACGGGGATCGACACGGATTGTAATGTCCAAGCGGTCTCCCGTAGCATCCTGCTCAACTTTCCAAAGTTACACAGACACAATAGAGTACACACTTCTTCTTTAGCCTCGGCAAGCAGACTGCCGCTCAAGGAAATGGCCTAGCGGATGTTGGAAAACGCCACTACGCCAAAGTAGTCAAACGTCTTCTCGATACATCCTTGACAAGAACAGCCCAAAACGCCATAGAACGACGGTCTAGAAGGGACTACTCACGAGCCACATCTTCTCCAAACTACTTCATCCCAAGCCGATGAATGCAATTCAGCCTCAGCTACGCCAAATTCTCAAACAAGAATACTTGGGGCGGAAGGTCTGGATCCTTTTCGAACCCCCTATAGGCTATGAGGCAAGCAACAGCACCGGACCTCACGATACCCGGTCCTAGGAGAAGGGTTGGGCTCAATCAAGGGGAATGGCGGATCTCAGACACCCCAAGGACGACCATAGGCCATTGGAATCAATCTACTTTGAGCTGCTGCCAATCTTCTCGCGTTTTCGGCTCAACAGCATCTCCCGCACGCAACTCTCTCGATTGGGCCTCGACATGCCGTGTCGCATTGGATGAGTTTCGACTTTCTAAGGGGCGGAGGCAGGAACAAATAATACGCGCACCATTGAGCCGACCCCCCCGGTGCAGCGAAATTCGAGCCTGCTGTAACATGGAGGACAAACCTTCGCATTGGATCTCACAACAGCTCGCCATCATGCCGTCTGTCTCATCTCTACCCTTTTGGAGCTTGACACGACATTATACCACGTATAAGGACCGCTTGGCTGCTGCATCTTTCTGGCTGGGTTATTGGCCAGCCTGAGAGCATGTACCAAGCTGGCCCGCCTTCATTGCCTTTTGTTCGTCTTACGTGCGTCTGTTTGAACAGCAATGGCGACAAAAGCAGGTAAAGGCAGGCCTCAATATTCCAACGAATACCAACTGAGTGTTTGGATGCGAATTACGAGTGCGTGTGCGCCAACAGCCCTCGCATGTTTGCTTCTTCTCACAAGCGCAAATACTGTACTACTGTACCTATCCAGACGTACTCACGCACGTCACCGTGGATGTCTGTTTGATGCGGTCCTAGTCATCGGGGCCACCCAAGTGGTGGTCGTGGTGCGCGCTAAAACGGAGCATCGAAAGCCCCCGGACGGGACGTTTCCTGGGGCTGTCCTGGACTTGGACAGACGTGAGTAAGATTTTGTTGTTCATAGGCAGTGCGCGCACGACGCAGGGAAGTTCCTCGGTAACCCTTTTGGGCAGCGCGATCAGTCAACCCAACCTCCCAACCTCTCTCGAAGCTGCAGGCCTGCACCTCATCCCGTCTCCATCCACTCAGAGCGGCCGCCACCCATTCTTCCCTGCTGCCGCCCAACCGCTCTCCGCCTCTCTGTATCCGTACGGAGCATTTGCACCAGGTTTCTGCTTTTCGCGTACCGTCCCGCCAGGTGGCTCTTACCGCCTCTGCTGGCTGGTCAGGTATTCGTTGCGTATCCATCTGTACCGTGCGTACCTTGGCTGAGGCTGGGACGTACAGCTTGAGATGTACAATGGGATACCTCTCATCCTCCCGCCGTCCGTCTTCCTCTCGGGAACTAGGCGGCGCAAGCTGGGCTAAGCAGGCTATCATCGCTTGGCCAGCAAGAGGCTAGACTTGGGCCACACCATAGGTAGACGCAACACAACCCACCCCGATGCCCCCCCTCCTCGTGCACTAAGGGGATCCAGTGGCATATTGGCCAGGTTGCCAGGGTTTGGGTAGAGCGCGAGGGAAAATCCGCACGGGACTGTCAGTCAGCAACGTGGTGCCAGCAAGCCCTGTGGTTTCCTTGCCTGGTCGGTCCCGAGCAGGTTCGACTGAACAGAAGGAGGAGGAGAGTAAGGCCTCCCATCCTACGTACCTCATCATCTCACGGGGGGTGGAAGAGCAAGATGGAAGGGCAGAGAGGGCAAGCGATTGAGGCAGAGGATGTGTGTGTGGGTGTCGTGTGAGTAAGGTACATAGTGTAGGTAGTCTACGGAGTATAGGCTTTGGTTATTCGAATTGCCTACATGAGGCGGCCTTACCTCACATTCAGGCTGCTGCTACCAACAACAGTGAAATAAGGCAAGGAAAGGTACAAGGGCAGTACTCCATACCAAGTACACCTCGCGCCTCAACGGCTCAGAACCGCAGTTAAAAAGTGAGGTCGAGGGGTATTGGTGACCAGTCATAGGCGGGCCTCACTGACCACACTGACCACACTGGTCACTGGACGCAGAGCCTAGTGGTTGACTGGTCCACGTCGGTGACTTCACTTACCGCTGCCCGCTAGGTCCCGGTTTTTCCTACCAGAAGCCCCCACCCCCAAGAGAAGAGCCAGACTCTGGCCTCTTCCTTTTCTGCGCCCACCACCCACTCCCTGCCCGCTTTTGCCTTCCCGTTCTTCCTCTTTTTCTTCCCGCCATCTCGACAATCCCATTTCTTACTCTCTTCCCCTCCTCTTTCTCTTTTTTCCTCTCCTGCTCTTTCTCTCTCACCTTCACGTTGCCTCGCCTCGCTCGACCCTCTCTCTCTCGACCGGTTACCCTTCTCCCTCCTCCTACTCAGACCACCCCCGCTTTCAACCGTCAACATGTCGAGATCCTCCCGTGGCCCCCCTCCGGCTTCGTCTGCCCCTCAAAGCGGCCGCTCCAACGAGTACTTCGTTCCGAGAGATGGAATTGATCGCGAGGTCATCACCGCCGATATTTGCCGCTACCTCGGCAACGACGCCCTCGTCCGCCCGGGTCACTACGAGAACCCCCAGACCGGACAAGTCTCACAGGGTTACTACATCACCGCCTACCGAAACCTAACAACAGTGAGTGGCTTTGCTCCACTGTCGTCGCCTTTCGCTCGACCAGTATACTGATGCAACGCCTCCGTAGGCCATGATCGACGACTTGAAGGCCGATTCTGCGCGATGGGAGGCAGAGAGGCGGCAGCAGGCCGCCCGGAATAGTTCAGGAGGTACATTTGCCTCAAGAGACGCGACGGCTCTTTTGTCGAGACGTTCTAACTCCCCTACAGCAGGGTACCGCCAGTCGGAGACTCACTCCGCACGCCAACACTATGGTCCCACGGATTCCACTGGCTACCCGGACGTAGGACGTGATTCCTATGAAAGCACCCCTAGATATCCAGGATCTCAAGCCCCAGGTTACTCGGGGAACTCTGCCCAGGGCTACTCTGGATCTACCCCTTCCTATCAACAGCAGCCTTCTTCTTCTTACTCAAGTGGTGGGTATCCCTACTCTGGACAGCCAGACCCAAGAGCCGACCCCAGGTACGCTGGACAGAGCCAAATGGGACAAGGATACGGTGAACCCCCGTACATTGCTACGGCCGCGAACATGGCGGCGCAAAGAAACTACCCCGCCGACCCCTACGCAGGACAGCCCTCTCGGACTCCTACTTCGATGGCGCCTCCGCCAGGAGGGCCGGCTTACTCTTCCGGATCACAGGTTCCGGCAGGATATCCCACAGGTTACTACCCGCCTTCGACGTCAGCCTCGTACGGTTCCACGCCGGTGGCTTCTGATCCGATGTACGGACGCGGTGCGTATACAGCTTTGTACCCCAACCCAACTTCTTCGACCGAATCTAATTATGTAGCGTCCCCAGCAGGTGGTGTTGCTCACCCGTCTCTCTCTGGCCAAGGAGGATCACAGTATGATAAGCCCCCTGCACCCCGTGGTTCTGCTCCTCCATCGAGTTCCAAAGCTCAGACGACAAGTAGTGGATCATCGCACTCTCGCCGCAGCGAAAGGGATTCCGACAGGCATCACCAATCCGACCGCCATCGCCCCCCGCGTCGCTGATACGTTACCTTCACTGGAATTTACTGTAGCCACTCCGACTGCACAGGACGCCCGTCCTGTGAGTCGCTGTCATGAACTTGATCCTAATGATCTCGGGTCTTGGACCCGTTTCCCGGTGTCGGCTTCCTTATCATTTGTTTTTCCTGGATAGACCCTTTTCCTGGATTCGAGGTGTGGAAATCACCTCGTGAGTTGCAAGTATGCATCTCGCTCTCTCCGTTGTCTGGCTTTGCTGGCGTTTTGGCTCTGCGCGGCCTCGGAGTTTCCCTGGCTCTACATATCTTCCTGGACCGTTACGTCTCGAGTTCTACTACATCCTGCCCGGATCTCACCTGGACTTGACCTGGATTTCACCAAGAATGGATTGTGCCGCGCATACCCCTGGACGTTTTACGACTGCATATATGGATGGGCTTACGATTTTTGCTATTCGATCAACCTTTTCTTTTCCGCAAGTATGACTTGCTACTACGTGTTTATGGCCCGGAACCCAGGAACGGAAAAGGACGTACTTTCTTGAACCGAGTCGACTTTGACGACTTTTTACACGGACCACTTTGCTGTCTGGAGCCGTCCTGGCGGTGGATGTAATGTCATTTTACTCTCTTCTCCTGGTCTGGGTTTCATTCTTCCTACTTGGACTTTTGGAGTTCGGGGTCATCATGGTGTTTCGTTATAGAATGGGTGGCGACGGCATCTGGACAGCAAGGTGAGTTAACGGAGTGCCAATTTTTTTTGACCAACTTCGAAAGGATACTCTGCCAACTTCCCCCATGAGGATCTGAGACACTCATGATTGAGAACTCTCATTTACCTAACGTCACAGTCATCCAACCGGACTCGTTGCACCGCAAACTACTCTCCACTGGAAAAACAAAACTGGCCATTTGCAAACCCGGATCTGCTCTTAAGCACTCGCACCGCACCATGGACTTCATTCCATATTTTGGAGATTCCGGATCAAAGCTTCATGGACCAGCCTGTGGAAGTACCACCCATTGGACAGTGGCCGTGGACAAGAAAGGCCTTGACCCCCACAACCGAGACTCCCAAACCCTTTTGGATCTCGAGTTAGCTCACTGAGCTCAATCAAGAAATTTACTGGGAGGAGATACATCTCCAATGTGGGTGAGTTATACATGGCCTGGCCTGCCAGCCATTTCGATACAATGGCCAAGACATTCCATCAATCATGAGTGGCCTTTGCCGGTCAAACACACCTTGGCACCTGACAACATCCGTTGCTTTTTGGATGCATGTTGCGATCATCAATGCAGCCTGCCATGGGACACGAGTCTGGCGGTTCATGGTACCCACTACCCACTGTGACCTGAAGATGAGGCATGGTTGAGGTTCACTAGCGCCAGGCTAGGCACATGGTACAAACGACTCAACCCTACCTTTCTGGACTACTTTCCCTGGACTGCGGCTGCCCAGTCTTGCGGAACATTTCCTGGATCACGTGGAGCCTTCCTGGCAGCTCTTCCGGAACAGCTCGTTAGTCACCGCTATTTCTATTCGTTCTGTGTTTCTATTCGCATCGTGGAACCATATCTATCCAAGCCGGGACATCGAATGTGGGAACTAACACGCTCGTCGCAGGCTTCACAGGGAACAAGCGCACAATGTTGTAGCCAGGATGGATAGTAGTGGCTCAATAGAGCGGACTTGATGTATTGCATATATCGGCGATTGTTTACGTTTGGACCCAGATTTTTTTTGGAAAGTTTTGGAGTTGTGGTAACATCTACCGGATTTATATTATGCGATTTTTGTTGTTGTATTTGGCGTTTGGGCATATGGTAACCAGCGGTTATCGGCTATTGAATGATGACTAAGTTTCTGTAATGAATTGAACGTTTCTGGATTGTATCAATGATCACTTATTCCAGCTTGGGCATTTCCTCGTCATTCGTCATCTCGAAGACGCGTCTTGATACTCGGCAGGTCGCATCTGGACAGTCTTGCCCAGCATCACCCTGGTCATGTGAGGTGTCACCCTGTCCACCTACCGTCCCTCGGGTACGAAAGGTTCATCGCCACTGCTGGCGAGTTGTGCACCGCTCGTGTCGACTGCGTGGTATGAAGCTTAAGTTTGTCAGGCAACCAACCCATCCTGTTGGGACAGATTTGATCTTTCACCATCGGGGAAAAAAGGATTGGGCGGGGGGGCAGGGCAGGGCAGTCAGGAACTATTCATATGCTTCCTCAACTTCCTTCGTCTCTCGCCACCTAGCAACGAAAGACAACGAACAGTCCGAAAGGGAAAAGGTTCAATTTGGTGCTCAGCATCCTCTCTCCCCATGGTGTCGAACATGGCCTCACTCTGCCTTTCGTCCACCTAGCACCTACAAGATATTCGTATGCTCCACGCCCCTAAGTCAAACCTCCGTCTCCAGAGAAGTGGTCAGCTACATGATATCAGATATCCGCCATATGTAGACAAAACAAGAGCAACAGCACCCTCATATGACATACAAATCTCTTCCCAAATGCCCACAGGAAACCCCAAAGTAACACACCCCAATGCTCATCTCAAGATCTCTCTTCGCAAGTCACCTACCACGCCAACTTCCATCTACTGACTCGAATCCCTCTACCTGGATTGCACCCCCCCCCCCCCCCACCATCCCCAATCCCAATTTCATCAACAGGGTCGGTCCCCCCATCCCCCAACACCACTTCCCCAGAGGTCTGAACTTGACCTGATTCATTGCCCTGCTAAGACTGATCGGATCACCAAGGTTGCTGTGTCTTTTTGCCACGGCCCTTATGGGCATGGGATGAAATGCCTCGCTGGGGTAGGGATGATGGCTTGGGCAGTTGAGTTCCTGGGATTTACAAGGGAGAGGAGAACATTCACATCCTCGAGATGGGCGAGGTTTGATCTTGAGCTGGGAAGTCTTGACGATGTATGCCAAGAGAGGGAACCTAGTGGTTTGCCGATGCTGTGGGTGCGGATATGAATGAGGCAAGAAAACGTACAGATGGGTTTTTGGGACAACGGCGGACCAGAAGGAGGAAGGTTAGCGGGCTTAAACCTGCCATCCTGATATACGTCTCGAGATGGAGAGCCAGTTTCTCACTCACTGATGCTTCAAGTCTGGTCACGTCAAGGCTCAGGTATGCGAAATAGAGTATCTGGCACCTGAGGTATTCGGCTCGTAATAGGAACATAAGGTAGGCGCAAAGATTGCTCTGGGGAAGTTGTTGGGCTTCCTGCTGCTGCTGAGGATAGTATGCTCTCGGATCTGGCATGATCGAGAAGGGGGGACCATCGGTTATAACTTTCGAGGGTATCGATTGATGCTTAACGAAGATGGGATGGATGAAGAAGGATGCTCTGGCATCGTACGTAGGAGTCTTTGTGTTGGAAGTTTGAAAGCTGCTGCGATGAACCTTGTTATTGGAGGCTTGAAGGAAAGGGGTTCAATGGGGATTTCCTTCGAATTTGTGACTCTACAAATCGACACCAGATCTTGCGGGCAACAGCTTAGGAACTACCGACATGGGGAACTGTCGCTCCGTGAATGACTTATTATCGTCTTGCCCAAGGTCTAGAGCAGTATAAGAGTACCAGAGACCAGGACAGGGGTGAACAAAAGGGTTTGTATCCCAGATACAAGGCTTTATTAACGAAAAAGCCGAGTAGCTGTCAGGCCATCAGAATGGAGAGTATTATTGCTGAAGTGCATGAGGGATGTAATAGACCTTTGATGTTGAGAGTTGATAGAGACAGACTAGCACCCCCAGACTCCGGCGTTTTTGCGGGGCGTATGCCAAAAAAGACGGGATCGTGACCTTTATTTCTAACTGCTACAACTTAGACGCGGTTGACGCGGATAAACCACACGACATTCTCCATTAGTTCTCGCACGCGCAGTGTGTAGGGGCAACGAGACAAAGGCCTTGAAAAAATCAAATTGAGTAGATAGGGGCTCTCTGAATACGGAAGTGACTCGAGCGATCATGAGAAAACGGGCAAGGTGAAGTGTCCCGTAGGTTTTTTCTATATGTGGAGCTTTGCCCGGCGATTGCGCTCCGGCGAAGTGGGAACTCGGTCCACACCGAGGACGGGGTGACCAAGCCAGTCCATACGGGGATCGAAATGGAGGGGTCAAGAACGGCCCCTGAAAATTTTCTCTATTAATCGGGTTTGAAAATTTGGAGATAAATGCTTATCATACATCATATTTAAGGAGGGTTGTATCGGAAACTTGGAAATACGATGTAGTAGGAGCGCTCTACACTACCTTATCCGCGATCTTAACGGTAAAGGTACCTTTAGTAGAAACTTGAAGTCGGGTTGGCAGGAACGATGAGGTGGATGGGATGGAGGGGGAGGGGGAAGGGACGAAGAGGGGTCTGGAAGGCGCCGACCTACCCTTTGGGTTAACAGGCACAACAGGCACGGTGGGACGGGCGGTGAAGGAGAAAAAACAGAAGGTGCAGGGGGGTAACTCTGGGAGTAGTGGGGACCCCGATAATGGCCGGGGCCGAGATGAGCCAATCAAAACGTAGTGTTGACGCCTCGGGCTGCCCTGATGCCATACCGCTTTCAGGGCGGGTGGAGGCGGTGGACGGCGCACTTTTGCGTTTGCTTGCATTTTGGCCTTTGCTGCCTTTTCTGCCGACAGAAAAAAAAAAACATTGTTCGCCCGTCTGCTCCGTAAGGCAGCTTAGGTAATGGGGTAGTTTGAGGGGCATAATATACGGAATGCACTCCTAGACTGCTACTTCCATTTCTCTGCTCTCGTGGGGACCACATAGTAAGATGTTTTGCCTCTACTTGGCAGATCCAGTTGCAACAGTCAAGAAGGAAGCAAACATTCTGCAGATGGGACTCCAAGGTACGAATCCTTACACAATTAATTAAAGCCCAGCACGAATAAGGTGGGTGGGAAGGAGGGAAGTGCAATGTAGCATCAACCAATTCTATGGATTTCGTGTTAGCAGCCAGTCCCCTGTTTGCTTGGACTTGTAAAGGACGATATTCCCACACAGACACACACCTTTTCCTGCCGCTCCCTATCTCCCTGAGACGCGGTTGCATCCCATGGATCTTACTCGAAAGCGGAAGTGGACAGCCAAAACAAGCAACAGCACGTACGCAGTATCGTGACACGGCGTTTCTTCGTCTTGGGATGATGGGCCATACTCTCACCCACCCAAGCGCCTCTCGTCGTGATAAGAGCATGAGCAGATGCCATTCCCTTCAATTGTCGGTTCATGTGTAGACGGTAGCGTTGTAACACAATGCGAAGTGCCCCTCTGCGTCAACTATAGAGAAAGGAGTAGCGCATTGCGCACTCAGAGGCCTGAGGTTGGAATCCTGAATCCGTCGCAACCATTAGAATAGAGGTTTACGGTCCACCGCAATCCAGGCTAGCCGGGACTGTCTGTCACTGCCGTCTGACATCCGCCATCAACAAGGCGAAAGAAAATAAAGGTTCAGTATTGCTTTTTTGGGACGTAGCCCAGAAAGATGGACAGCATCAGGCAGGAAACCTGGCAATGTCAAACAAAACTCTTCACGTCTCGCTCTCACTCTTCTTTTCTCGTAAACAGGCATCAACATAACTTCCTCATGACAAAGTTGGAGACACTTTCCGTATGCAGTACAGGAGGCATTGTCCATTGTTGTGATCTTTCAGAGCTGGAGGAACTCGCCGGCAGCCAATCATCTCGACCGTTTACATCGCCGTGGACTTGTACCTTCGAAGCTGCGCCGTCTCATCAGACACGTACATCAGACACACACACACGCACACGCACACAGACATTTATTCCTTCCCAAGACAGAAGACAGGCAGACGAACAGACAGAAAGCCAAAAAAAAAGTCAGAGGCAGACAACCAGCTGCAAACTCACCCGAGTCCTCTTCCCCTGCCCGTCTTACGTTAGTTCAATAAGGTAGCCCGCCGCTGCCCAGAACTTAGGAGCCATCCGACGCCTTGTGCACCAAAAACAACCCGCTACACGTCAGGCCTGAACAGGTAAGCACAGTCAATGCCTTAGCAGTACCTGATGGAACCTGCTTGGAAGCACCCAGCAGTACCTCGCCATGCCCCGGAATCCCGTTGCGACACGAGGTACCCCGCCTAGCCTACCCGGTGTACCTCTTGACTTTGGTTCCTGTCCCCTTCCTTTTCCCTTTTCCTACTAGACCCTTCACTTACCCCCCCCCCCCTACCACACACATCTCAGCCAACTTTCCTTACCGTCCTTTCAGTCATTCAGCACTCACCTCAGACCGTCGACCCTTGCGTTTTTGACTTCCCCGTGGTTTCTCCTTGACCTGACTTGGCCTTTATTCGCACGCAGCAACAGCAAGGCCAGCCCAGCCCAGCCCAGCGAGCGCACACGCAGTCCGAAATACGCACCTCAGTACCTACGCAGCCTGGTACATACCTTGACGCAGCGACGCCCACACCCGCACACACGCACGCACACATCCACTCCCAGTACCTTACGCCCACACACGCCGTACCGCCGTCGCCGTGGCATGCCCCGCCATTTCGAGGCAACACAGTCGACCCGCCCAAAATTTTGTCTTCACCACCCGCACCGCTTTCCTTCCTCTCAATTCCTATCCCGCCTTCGCCTCGACATCACCCCGTCAATTCACCCAAGATGGACACCACGGCGATTCGAGGCCTGCTCGCGGCCAGTTTGGACCCCGATGCCGACACGAGACGGCGGGCTGAGATTCAGCTGAAGCAGGTATGAGCACGAGAACTTCTCTCTTTTTGCCTTTCCCACCCGTCCTCCTTTCCCGCTCTCGCTTCCTGCTGGCCCCTTCTCGTGTCCTGAGAGATCCCGCCCCCTCCCCCACGAATGGCCCCTCCATGACTGCGCCAGCGACGATCCGCACTACATCACACCGCACGCACATATACAGACGTATACAACATGGACGAGATGCATACCTACCGCCAACACGTCTTCGCACCCTCACGGGCCTGCTGCCCGCTCCAGCTGCCCGGCATCGGGTCCGGTCCCACGGGGCATAGTCGCGGAGTCACCCTTGATGTTGGATTTGCCGGCTGACATATTTTCTCCTGCCACTTAGATCGAAGAGCACCCGGGGTTTATGGACGTTCTCCTCGAGGTCCTTCAGAACGAGCAAGACAACAGTGTGCGACTATCAAGTACGTGGACGGCTCCTTCCGAACCTCGTTGCCCCCCTACTCTGCCTTGCTCTCGTATGGCTTCACCTAGCCAAGCACACATACTAAACGGTTCCTCCTCTTAGCCGTTATCTATATCAAGAACCGCGTAAATCGCGGATGGGAAAAGTCGGACCACAACCCGAATGACACACAAATCGCCGAAGATGAGAAGGCGCGCTTCCGCGACCGTCTGTTGCCCATCATGGCCGCCTCTCAGGGGCTGGTCCGGCAACAGTTGATCCCCGTCCTCCAGCGTATTCTGCATTTCGATTTCCCCGAGAAGTGGCCCAACTTCATGGACTACACTATGCAGCTCCTGAACACGAACGATGCCGCCTCCGTTTTGGCTGGTCTTCAATGTCTTCTCGCCATCTGCCGCGCCTACCGATTCAAGTCTTCGGACGGCGATAACAGAGTCCATTTCGACAAGATTATCGAGGCCAGCTTCCCCAGACTCTTGGCCATCTGCAACGAGCTCATCGCGCAAGAGAGCGATGAAGCTGGCGAGATGCTTCACTTGGCCCTCAAGGCTTACAAGCACGCAACCTGGGTATTTACAAAATCCTCCTCTTGTTGTGCATGGCTTTGTAACGTTTTGGCTGACACCGTCCTAGCTCGAACTCTCTGCTTTCCTTCGCGCCCAGCAAACCAACTTTGGCTGGTGCACTGTTTTCCTCCAGACCGTTTCAAAGGCTATTCCTGCCAGCGCCATGGCCGACGATTCATACGAGCGTGAAAAACACCACTGGTGGAAGGCTAAGAAGTGGGCGTACTTCAACTTGAACAGACTGTTCATCAGGTAAACATCGGCCTACGGTCCTTTTAGCATTTCGAGGGCTGGCTAACGCTGCAATAGACACGGCAACCCCCAATCCGTCACCAACACGAAGGACGAGGACGCTGTTCGTTTTGCCAAGGAGTTCTCCGCCACGATTGCGCCCGAGATTCTTAAGCACTACTTGGCCGAGATCGAGAAATGGGTTGCAAAGACGGCTTGGCTCAGCAGACCCTGCCTGTCATACACTTTGGTTTTCCTCGACGAGTCGGTACGCCCCAAGGAGATGTGGAACCACCTGAAGCCTCACCTGCAGAACCTGGTGATGCACTTCGTGTTCCCCGTCCTTTGCCTGTCCGAGGAGGATATCGAGAAGTTCGAGGACGAGCCCGATGAATATCTTCACAGAAAGCTCAATTTCTACGAAGAGGCCTCGGCCCCCGATGTTGCGGCTACCAACTTCCTCGTCGGCCTGACGAAGAACCGAAGAAAGCAGACCTTTGAGATCCTCAAGTTTGTCAACGCCGTGGTCAACGAGTACGAGCAGGCGCCGGAGGACAAGAAGAACCACATCGCCAAGGAGGGTGCCCTGAGAATGATTGGCACGTTGGCGCCGGTCATCCTGGGCAAGAAGAGCCCCATCGCCGACCAAGTCGAGTACTTCCTCGTCCGCTACGTTTTCCCCGAATTCACGAGCCAACAGGGATACCTGCGCGCGCGGGCTTGCGACACGATCGAGAAGTTCGAGCAGCTCAACTTCCAAGACCAGAACAACCTCCTTACTATATACCGCCACATCCTCGACTGTATGGCAGACGTCGCGCTGCCCGTGCGTGTCACTGCCGCGCTTGCCCTGCAGCCTCTCATCAGACACGACATCATTCGTACCAGCATGCAGCAGAGCATCCCTACCATTATGCAGCAGCTGCTTAAGCTCGCCAACGAGGCCGATATCGATGCCCTTGCCAACGTCATGGAGGATTTCGTTGAGGTCTTTGCCACTGAGCTGACACCATTTGCCGTTGCCCTTAGCGAGCAGCTGAGAGATACCTACCTCCGCATCGTCCGTGAGGTTCTGGACAAGAACAAGGACAATGGTGAGGATGAGTTTGGCGACTACCTTGACGAGAAGAGCATCACTGCCCTCGGCGTTCTTCAGACCATTGGCACTCTCATTCTCACCCTCGAGAGCACTCCCGATGTTCTGCTCCACATCGAGGCCGTCCTCATGCCTGTCATCCAAGTTACTCTGGAGAACAAGCTGTACGACCTGTACAACGAAGTCTTTGAGATCATTGACAGCTGCACATTTGCTGCCAAGGGCATCTCCCCCACCATGTGGCAGGCCTTCGAGCTCATCCACGCCACTTTCAAGGCTGGCGCCGAGCTTTACCTGGAGGATATGCTGCCCGCCCTGGACAACTTTGTCCAGTACGGAGCTGGCCAGCTGGTGCAGAAGCCCGAGTACATTGAGGCTCTCTTCTCCATGATTTCCGATATGTTCAACGATAACAAGGTTGGAGGCGTCGACAGAATCTGTGCTTGCAAGTTGGCTGAGGCTATGATGCTGAACCTTCGCGGCAACATCGACAACTACGTTTTGCGTTTCATCGAGTTCGCCATGACTGTCCTCACTGCTCAGGATGTCAAGGTCAAGGCTTACAAGATCCACCTCATGGAGCTGGTCATCAACTCCATTCACTACAACCCTATCCTCACTCTCCACATCCTCGAGACCAAGGGCTGGACCAACCGATTCTTCAGCTTGTGGTTCGGCAGCATGTCCAACTTCACCCGGGTGCACGACAAGAAGCTGTGCATCGTCGCGATTGCGGCTCTGCTCAGCCTCAAGGCGGACCAGGTCCCTCAGAGCATTGCCGTTGGATGGCCTCGCTTGCTGCAGGGCGTCACCGAGCTGTTCAAGACGCTGCCTGCCGCTATGAAGAACCGCGAGGAGGCACTCCGTGACGACTACCACCTCGACGCCGGCACCTATGACTATGGCGAAGAGGATGAGTGGGCTGAGGACGAGGCTAACTGGAACGTCGAGGACGAGCCTGAGGAGGAGGAGACCAATGAAGGCCGCGATGAGAGCACCGCGTACCTTGAGTTCTTGAACGAGGAGGCTCAAAAGTTCAGCCGTGGCGTTGATGACATTGAGTCTGAGGACGACCTTGGAGAAGACAGCGTTTTGCTCGAGTCTCCCCTGGACAAGGTGGACCCCTACCAACTTTTCAGTGCGACTTTGATGAGTAAGTTCCAGGCTATGCCGTCTTGTATGAACAAACGCTAACCCCCGAGCAGAGATGGAGGAGGAGCAACCTCAATTCTACCAGTCCCTTGCGTCACATCTCACCGCCGAGGACCAAGCCGCCCTGCAGGGCGTCATGCAAAAGGCAACCGAGAATGCCCAGGCTGCCCAACTGGCTCTTGCTCAGCAACAAGGTGCCGCCCCTGTCAACGGTGGTGCTAGCTAAGAGCCCTACCGGAGATTTCATCGATGACCGAGCCGGGCCCCTCATCCCGCTGTGAGGATCGTGTCAAGAGTATAGTGACCTCTGAACGCCCCAGCTCAGAACTTATGAGGGAGACGCGAGATGATCCGAAGAGCCACTGCCGCAACGCAAAGTCGGTGGATAAGGCTCGAAGCTGCCAACTGTCGATGTGGACGAGCGGCTGCAGGAAAGACTGATGAGGCAAAGATTTACGATTACCCCATTCCTAAAAGATTACAAGAGGTCCAAAAGGAAGAAGATCTTCAAGAGCAATAGAGCGTGCAAACGATGGCCGGAGGCCAGCTGGATATGAGAGGGAGGTGTATGGAAAGACTGAGTGGTCCTCCGCCAAAAACAAGAAAACGCAGCTTCCCCTGTCGTCGGCAGTTGTGGAGGAGTGAGCAGCAGGCAGGGGAAAAGATGGGACTTGTTATTTCTGCTAGGATTTTCAAAGGGCGCCACAGAGGATGTTCCGATTGTCTTCGCCTTGGCCGTCTTTTTATTTCAAACCGGCGGCAGGCATAGCATCGTACGGGAGGCCCGCGTGTTGTGTGGATGTATAGCTCATGATGCCCCAAGTCGTAAGTAGTTAAAAATTCCCCCAAACCCAACAATTCAAAAATCATTTCAATATACACTTTGGTCCTCGGTTACGTTGTCCTAGGAGTGGAGGGATTGTAAAGGAATGTGGCTGTTCAGACGGACACGCTACGTCTCCAAGCTTGTCTTCCTTTTAGTATTGTTCTGTCGACCTCGGCGAATTCTTTCAAAGCATTTCACTTGTTGCAGGGAGGGAGGTGAGTGCAATGATTGGGGAAGAAGGTATTTGATTGTCTCAGAACTAAGCATGACCCATCTGTACGTGGCGGTTCCGGCGGCAATCCGAAGCGCTAGATCATACTAACTACGTTACTCAAAGATCCCTCATCTCATGCGGGGTTCGCGCGATCACTGCAATCAAATCTGCCATCAGCATCTCGATTATGAGCCTGACGCAGTAGGCAACCGGATGGGTGCAGGTGTAATGATAGGAATTTGGTGCAGACATGAGGATCATCATGACAACCTTTTCGAGAAAAGGAGAGAGAGAAAGTCAGCCCCATGGTACGTATGTTTACTTGGAGACCGCGTTTGTGTCGCAAACAACTTACATCCAAGGATATCGAAAGGCACACAGCCGCCACACCGCAATTGAACAAAAGCCGATATTTGACTAGGCCGCCGGCAATGAGCTCACGCTTGATGATTATGAGAAAAGTCGCATCGAGCACAACGTTGACTAGCAGATCGATGACTATGTCCAGCCGCGACAAGTATCTGTTGATCACTACCGCCAGCTGAGAGGGGTTTATTGTAAAGACGACCCACAGGGCAATGTATGCGAGGTTGAAGATGCCGATGAAGACAACCAGACCTATCTTCATGTACTTGACTCGTCGCTTGTTGTGCATGAGGAGACCGAGTCTGTTGGCGAGAATCTGGGGGGCCAGTTGGGTTTGGAGAACCCAGCTGATGGCGTCCGCAATCATGAAGCCGATGCTGAAAGTTGAGTACAGCATTTTAGCAAAACAGTTTAGGTGAAGAGTGAGTTGGGGACGTTTGGCCTTTTTGCTTACTTTATAGAGATGTCACCGCGGAAAAGTAACCAGACTATAATCGCCTGGGTGGCGTTGGCGAAGAGGAGAATCCATACCCTGGAGTTTGTGTCAATGTCCGTGAATTACCCCCTCCTGAACCGCGGTACTGGTTTGGACCATAGGTATATATGTGACTGACATCCAAGCGTAGATATTCTTCAACGAGTTTGTCCTCGAATAGATTAGGAAACTCTGCTGGACGGCTTTTGCAGAGGTGAGTGCCAGCAGACCTATGCAGACGCCAAAATAGAGGGCGGGAGTTTCCGTAGTGTCGAACGCCCAGGTCGACGCTCTTTTTCCAAGCATGATGGAAATTGAAGGAAAAAGAAAAAGAGGTTTCTGAGGTTACCAGGGGATGATCGATAGCCTTCTCCTTGACGACGAGAATTGCACAAGCGGCGGGCTTCCTCATGCTTGACCTTTTATTTCGTGGTGGCATCGTTGATGGTTTAGTAGCAGTGGCATCGCGATTTCGATCATGAAATTTCAAACTGCTAGGGCTTGGCGTCCACTGGTGTTGAAGGGCTACTTGCTTGCTTTTTTTTCCGAATTCCCCCTCCCTCTCACGATGCAAATCGCGGGTTCATCGAAAAACTCAAGCCATACCTACTCAGCTCTGCCGGGCCGAGATTTACATTGATAGATGGCTGACAGAGACACTTTGAAAGTACCAGTACGCTGTGAGAGTGCGCCACCTTTCTGACTATGATATCATGATCCTTTCTAGGGGTCACTGGGTTTGGGCTTCCCTAAATTCAAGCCAAGTATCGCGACACCTATATTTGAGCTCAAACTCAAAGTTGGGTGGCGACGGCAAATTTCGGAGTCGGTATATTCCTTCTTCAAGTGCGACAAGTGCCGTGAAATATCACCAAGATGCAGGACGCTTTGAGCCTCTAAGCTCGAGGAGGATCGGGGTGTTTTACACAGCCCATCGGCTACGCTACGACTAGCGGTGACAATCTCTGGGTAGTTCCGTTGATACCAGGGATCTGTCAGTTTTCAATGAATAGTATTGCTTTCCTTGAACTGCTAGTCTAATCGGTGAAATGCTAGCCGTAACCAGGCGGCTGGTTCAAGTATGAAGGGCGGCAGTAGCGGAAATCTGGAATCTGATAGATCGGATAGGATTACGAAATCTCTGGTGGGCGTGGTTGCATGTAATTACGAACGCGGTTAGGAATGGTTATAATTAGAGGGTCGAGGGTGTGGCAGGCGGGTGAAAGAACATGTGGTCCATGTCCACACTCGAGAACCTGAGCAATCACGGCACATCTGACTATCTGGTCTTTCCCCCCCCCCCCCCCCAGTAATTGGCTTTTGGTCGAAACTGCCCAGGAGCAACATGGGACGTCGGTTGTTGGTGAGCGGGAGTAAGTCAGACCAAGGGGAATCGGGGAGAATGATGGATATCACTTCTCCAGATGCAGCACTCTAGGAAGCAGACACCGGTGAGTCTTGTTTCTGTACTATGTGGATCCGTCGTTCAACCTTGCATTCTGTTCAATGTTAGCCATGGTGAAGGCGTATAGTCACTCTTCTAATACTTGTTTGCTGAGTGGAACAGATGTTGAATGAAGCCAAAGAGTCCTGCTTGCGTTAGTGAATACTTCATTTTTTCTTTGTTCAGAAATCGCAATTTTGACCATCGAGGCCTCTGATTGCTCAATTCTCATGAAGGTCAGTCCTTTTTCGAGTATTCACTCAACTCTCTCCTCGCTCGTTGATCTGGCAGTAGTATTGCTTTGTGGTTAAGTTCTCCATCGCACCTCTTCTCAACGCCACTGGTTACTCTCATTCTACCCATTACCTCTCGCAATGCGACAACCTAAAGGAAGTTGGTGATGAGGAGAGGAAATCTGTCAACTGCGAATTAGGCAGGTAGTTGACAATAGCTCCTTCCGAATACATCTGAAGGCTCGGGCAAAACGACATGTAGATACAACGTCGTTCTCACGAGCTCGCCAACTCTGACCCGCCCACACCAGAACATTCATTAGGTCGAGGGTTAGTATCTGGCCGTTCGCATTTATACCCTTTCTTGAAGCTCGAATATTTGCCCTCTACACCAGAAGCATAATTTCTGTCGAAGCACAAAAATTACGCCCTAGTTACTCGCGATTCACAACTTCCCTCGGCCATACTCGGCTTCTCTGACACCAAGACTCGAGTTACTGCAAATTACCAGCAGGTTGAAGCTTCTCCAGAAGCCTACCCAACTCCTTCCCGCTCCGCAAGAGGAAGCTCCCAATTGCTATGTTTCGAAATTGGTCTTACCCACAAGGCTTCAGAAGGCAGGATCGGCCAGGAACCGCTCCTTCTTCCACAGTCCCTAGTCGATTTCCTCCTGCCCCTTCCCAGACTTTGGGTTCTGCAAATGGCCCTTCTCCTAATCATCTTCCGCACTTCAATACGATTACATCAATGTCCGCAGGCATAACCTCACAGCAAAGCCAAGTCAAGCCTGTGACGCCTAGGACGCCAGAGACAACAATTACAGTACCTCCTCTGGGTGTACGACATTCGCCTTCCCCGCCTTCACCCTCCTTCGTCGAAGCTGATCGAATGCAGACGATTTCTCTATTGAAACCCACTGAAAGAGGAACACCGCAGATGACTGGCCCCTCTCGACTTACGTCTGTTGGCCAATTGACAGTCAAGCCAAACCAACCTTTACTCAAGAGTGTCAAAGACAACAACCTGCCGCAGGTGACTACAGCTTCAATGCAGCGCCTTATAGCAGAGAAGCTTTCTCAGAAGGAATTGGTGACTTCCTTGAAGCCCGACATCATGAAGGACAAGCCATACACTGGCCAATCGATCACTGGCTGGAGGAAGTGGGCTAAACGACACAAGAATCCCGCTTACAGCAGGTATCCGGCCTGTAACGAGGCCGTCAACACCCACATCTCCAAGGTACTCTGGGACTCGGAAAATAAGAAGCCAAAAGCACTCAGCGAGCAGAAAGTATACGGCGATTTCATGAAGGACTGGAAGGAAACCCAGTACTGGCAACGGCCGCCTTCGGCGCCAATGATGGAGTCGATCCGACTCATTAACAATGCCAGTCTGCCGCAGGACATCGTCACCAAACTCGAGATTTCTGGCTGGGATGCGACCAAATGCTGCGATCCGACGTTGCCACACTCCGAGAAGAAGTCTGCCAGAGTGCCGCCCAATCTGAAGGGTTCCTCCAAGGACCCGGAATCCGAGTCAGAAAATGACTCGGATGAGGTTGCTCTGGCACAAACCAAGCAGCAACAGAGGGGTTCTTCATTTGACATGGCCATCACCTTGATAGACGATCCCGAAGATGAGGATATTCAGTCCTCCGGCCAATCTCCC